GGAATTGTAAGGCCGACGAACTTGCGCGACTTGGCACGAAACTTCCTTTTGGGAATATAATTGACGAAATAGGAATACCCTTGCAAACTTGTAAGCTACTTATCTCCGAGAGGCTCACTAAAGTAGCGAACGAAAGGTGGCAGGACGAAATCACCTGCAAAACTGCCAAACAATTATGTCCGGTGCTCAGCGCCAAACGCACTGGCGTACTACTGAGTCTAAATAAGTCCAATATTAGATTATTAGTATCCGTCATAACAGGACACTGCCTAATTGGCAAGCACGCCTATCGACTTGGCCTACGCTCACATGACTTCTGTAGAAGTTGTCAAGATGAAGAAGAGGAGGAAACGATTCTCCACCTGTTGTGCCAATGCCCTGCTCTATCTAGACGAAGACTCTCCACTCTCGGTAGGCAATTCTTCGACAACTTGGAGGACCTTAGATGCGTCGAAATCAGGGATCTTCTAAAATTCGTTCAAAGTTCAAAATGGTTTTAGGAGGGATTGGGAGTTGCTGACCCAACATGCGGCATCACAATGGGCCCTGAGCCTAAGTGTGTCTTATAGACGACCGCGACAACCTACCTACCTAATACCGTAAAAACAATTTACAATACTCGTTAAAGCAATTACAATGCTTTACAAACCTTGTTAACACAATTAAACTTATAGCTTGCTTATTCCCAACTCACTTTACTTGCAGCTTGCTGACTTGTAACTAACTCCCTCCGCTGTGTGGTGGCTCTTATATACCTGCGCTCGCACTCAACTTGACGTTTCACTTTGTGGAACATTCTACTTCATTCCTCGGACATTCTGCCTATTTCTCGTTGGTCGCTTCGCGGTGCCGCAGTATTCGCCACAATAGTGTATTTTTATAAGATAATTTTTTTAGGAATCTGACAACTCCAAAAATTGAGGTATCTACGTCATCAAGATGGCGGCCATGGCTGATGTCGTAACCTTGTATTCTATGGACCTTGGATTGCTGATTGCTTAAACATTGATTGTTTCAAATTAAAATGTTCATTTTCAAAATGCAAATTGTTTCAAACGCGCAACAAGTTTTAACGCTTCATCGTACGATATACAATTCACATGCAACTTATTTAACAAACTGAACGGAAATTCCGTCTTCTATTTGACACATATGGCATGAATGTGTGTATATATGTTTAAAAGGGAATCACCGATTTTGTTTTTAATAAAACTAGGTACTACAAAGTTTTCTTGGTATTTTTTTGAATTTTGTCTGTTTATGAGAAATTTTTTGATCAAAATGGTTTGAAATAGAGGGTCAGCGGCTGGTTACACAGTGCAACAAGATTCTACGTATTTGATGAAACCAAAAGTAAATGAAAGTTCACACCTGATATAAGCAATAGTGCGAAGAAAAGTATGAGCAATATTTTGGAATGCCAGTAAGCTAAATAAAAACCTATGTATTTTTAATAGAAAAAATATTTTTTTAATTAGGAAAGACTTTTTCTCTATAAAAATGTTATATTTCATAAAACATTTCACATAAACACTTTTTATCTCCACAATGCAGTATTTTTTTAACAAAAATATATGTAATGATCTTTGTCACATCATCTAGCTTAACTTTAATAATGAAACTGGCATACATAATGGATTACTCAGCCTTAAAACAGTAAAAATACTTTTTTTCGATGAAAAACCATAAAAATAGCAAAAATTTGGCCACAGCGACACCTAGCGTAAGTTTTAGATAAAAGCAAACATCAAAACTGAATTCCTCGACCAAAAAAATAGTAATATACCTAATGTGACCAACTATTTCATAACTCAAAGAAGTACAGCCTAGTTTGGGTTAAGTTAACGCCGCGAGCCGATTACGAAATTTCGAGTGAAGCTAATTTCGATCCCTGCGAGCTCCACGTTTGTTAAGAAGTGCGAGCCCAAATGCTTCCATCTTAGTTTCGCGAAGGTTGGATTGTCTAAAAGAAAGTGTGGATATGATTCCACTTCATCTTCCTCTTTACAGCTGATACAAAAGGATCAGTTGAAATTCCTAGTCTCATCGCATGAATACCAATCGCACAATGGCCTGTCAGAACTCCCATCACTAGCCCTTGAGAGGTAACGTGTTTTAAAGTGCTCTATAAAAACATTTGTTGCAGCAGGGAAACGTCTTTTTTCCTTTTTTAAGTCAGAAAAGGACCCGGTTTCGCTTAGCCTAATAGCAGTTCGTGCTGCGATAATTCGGTTTGCAATATCCGCAGGCGCCGTGTTAAACATATGTATGTTAAGCGCCACCCTGCAGGAAACTTAATTAATTTAAAAGTACTTACTAAGTATAAACTACTTAATTTTCAATGATAACTAATTGAAATTCTCACGTTTAATTATTTCATCGAATTTTACTCTTTTTTCCTGTATGCAGGGTCACCAATAGGCTTGCCAAGTATCCGAGTTTCACCCGGAGTCTCCGGGCTACGGGTTTGAAATTAATTTCTCCGGGTTGCTTTTAAAAACTTCGAAATGTCAGGGTTACTGGAAATGTGTCTTAAGATTTTCTCATGTGGCAACATACATCCAAAAGTTCATTGTCATTCACTGAACGAACCTTTCATGTATTTTGATTCATGGTCCATGACTAATGTGACCAACTGTTTCATAGCTCAAAGAAGTACAGGTTAGGTTGGGTTAAATTAACGACGGGAGCTGATTACGAAATTTCGAATGCAGCTCATTTCGATCCCTGAGAGCTCAGTGTTTGTTCAGAAGTGCGAGCGAAATCTTAGCCTCGCGAGGGTTGGACAGTCTAAGAGAAAGTGTGGAGATGATTCCACTTCATCTTCCTCTTGACAGCTAATAAAAAAGGACAGTTGAAATTCCTAGTCTCACCGCATGAATACCAATCGCACAATGACCTGCCAGAACCCACATAACTAGCCCTTGAGAGGGCATGTGTTTTAAAGTGCCCTATAAAAATATTTGCTGCAGCTGAAAAACGTCTTCTTTTCCTTTTTTATGTCACAAAAGGGCCACGTTTCCCTTAGCCTAATAGTTGGCGCCGTGTTCAATATATGTATGTTAAGCGCCAGTGCAGGTGTGGTTCCTAATGCTCAGCTAATTCCTATTTTACAAGTGTAGCCTTCTCGAGTGAGTTCCACCAGATAAGGGCTCTGTTCGGAGCAGCAGCCGATAATGCAATCAACATAAATCATTAGCCTCACAACGCAATATAAAGCGTTACATTTAAGCTTCAAATATTTTTATCATTTTGTTTAAGCTTCTAAACATTTTGTACCACCCTAGCATAAATATTCCCAGTCCGTTATTGAACATATGTACATTATTATTGTAAAACCACTCACTTTATATTCCAATTGCAAAACATATGAGCATATATATGGAGGAGGGTAATTACTTGGGCTCATACATACTATTATACTGGACGAATGCAGGCAAACGGGATATGATGTGTACATAGTATGTACAACTGCTGTCGCTCTTAAGGCAGGCGTACAAGCATGTACACATATCCATAAAAAACGGTCCATATGTATATCAAATAATGAGAGCATGTAAAAAAAGAACAAGTTTAACTATGTATTACTTTTTATCGCTCGAGGCTCTCATCTGCATAGAATTAAATATCACCGTTGTAAACTCCGTAATTCCCCTTTATGCTCACTATTAAGAACAAACATTTTGTACATAATGTATACATATATACCTACACTAATAGGCTATTGCTCATGCGGAATTAAGATTTGCAATCATTCGATTTTGGCAATAGAACTGAGCAGCAGCTCAGCAGCGGCATAGGTGCATTTTTATAGTTTAAGCTCACGGCAACATCATCGTTTAGAATTCGAAATCAAAAATTAAATAAAAATTAAGTTGTTTCAACAAATCAAAGGTGTTGACCTTTTTTTGTTAATTTGGAGTTTAATAGCTACAAAAAAAGCTTTGCAGCTCAACAGTAGGTGACCCCGACGTGATCGCCGTGCGTTTTTGGTGGAATTGTACTTTTCGATATTTGGGAGATTAAACTGTGTGCATAACGCTTTGTACATAATAATATACTCGTATACGCCTATAGCCGAAAATTTGAATCCGTTATTCAAGAGCACGGAACTTTGTGAAACTTGTAGCGTGATCTTGAAACAGTTAAACTGTTAGCTTACGTCTTCAGCATATTTTGTGAGCCGCTATTTCTGTTCATTTCCCACGCAACGGTTTCCAGTTGCGATTTTTCCCGAGTGTAGTACACATCACGCGCTGCCGATATAAATTCGACTTGAATCCATCATGACACTTAACCCAGCTAATGGTACTCCAGGTAGCGAAAATGCTGCTCAATCAAATGAACAGGTGGCCACAGATCGAGTTAGCTTTTTTAAGTTAAAAACAAAAGCAATATTCAACCGGCTTGAGCGAATAGCTGCCGAGATGGACAGTGATAAGCTGCACGGGATGGACGAATACGCTCTGACGGCACTACTGGACTCATTGGGGGAACTGAAGTCAAGTTTCAACGGTGCGCACACAAGCTTGGAGGAATTGGATTTCGATTCAATTTGCAGCGATCTGCCTGGTAAATTCGACTCCAATTTAGTTAACCTCAGATCCACTCTGCAGCGTGAAATTGGAAAGCGAAGTGCACCTCAGCTATGCTCCACATTCAGGGTTAACGCCAATGAGTCGCAATCAATTATAGTGAACACCAACCGATCACGCTTGCCGTTACTTACACTGCCAAAGTTCACTGGTGCCTATACTGAGTGGACAAACTTCTTCTCCATGTTCGTATCTGTCATCGACAAGGATAGCGACCTTACGCCGGTCGACAAGCTTCAACATCTACGTTCCTGCCTGAGTGGTGCAGCGCTGGATACCATACGTTCTCTAGAAAAAAATGAGGCTAATTATAAAAATGCATTAGATCTTTTGCATAAGCGTTTTGATAACAAGCGTCTTATATTTCAGGCACACATCAGGGAGATCTTCGGGCTGGGCAAAGCAGATGGGTCAGTAGGCAGGCTACGGGAACTAACTGACAAAGTCACCGCTCACATACGTGCACTGCAATCGCTTGGGTCCAAGGAGCAAATATCCGACTGTATCATTGTACAACTACTAATACAGAAGTTAGACAAAGCGACTCAATCCAAATGGGAGGAGAATTCGCCGACAAACGAACTACCTTCGTGGGACCAGTTATCTACCTTTCTGGAGAAGCGCTGTAGAACGCTCGAAAACGTCGAACACGTTATGCAAACACCAGTTGGTCAAGCTGGTAAATCTGGTAAAAACGTGAGTACCAACCAAAGAAAATCATTTGTTGCTTCTGGTGGCTCAGTGGGCGGTTGCGTATTTTGTGGATCCCATGAGCATCTGATATACCATTGTCCTCGCTTTACAAATCTGTCGCCAAACCTCCGCCAAAAAGAGGTTAAACAACTCGCTCTATGTCTCAATTGTCTAAAAAAAGGTCATCAGATGCGCGACTGCAAATCGGGGTCTTGTCGTAACTGTCAATCAAAGCACCATACACTTTTGCACTTTGAGCGCTCTGCTCCAACTGCCACCAGCCCTCAAGGCTTAACTTTGAAATCCGCTACAGCCCAACCTAATGCCATGACTGCAGCCTTATCTGCCTCGTCCCAGGCCCTTACTTCTCCATCTGATGTTGTGCTTCTAGCCACTGCGGTAATTTTTGTAAAAAATCGTGCCGGCACTTTCGTACCTTGTCGTGCGCTGTTAGACTCTGGTTCACAGCTGCACTTTATCACCTCTCGTTTCACAAACCAGCTGCAGCTGCGCAAAACCAAAACCTTCGCTGGAGTATCTGGCATTGGCGACGTCAACTTTTCAACGGAGGGATACTCGGTCGATCTCGTACTGAAGTCGCGGACTTCTGATTTCTCGACGACGATTACTGCTGTTGTCGCACAAACGATCACTGAAAGTCAACCTGGCCTTACAGTGAGCACCGTTAATTGGCGACTTCCCTCCAACATCCAGCTGGCTGATCCCAACTTCAACATACCACAGCGTATTGATCTGCTTATAGGAGCAGGACTCTTCTTCGAACTTCTCTGTGTGGGCCAAATTCAGTTGGCGCCTGGGCTGCCATTGCTTCAAAAAACTCGGTTTGGTTGGGTGCTGTCCGGTGGTGGACAACAAACGCCCAAACTCTCATCTTTCGTCGTACGTCAACGGCCATCTACTGACATTGATTGTAGTACTCGGCTAGATTATTTAGTGCGTCGTTTTTGGGAAATCGACCATGTAATTGAGCCAATCGCTAAAACAACAAAGGAAGAGCTCGACTGCGAAGAGCACTTTAGGCAAAATTATTCGCGTCTGTCTTCAGGCGAGTATTCCGTGCGTCTGCCGATGAAGAGTAGCGTGGAGTCACTAGGTGATTCGTATTTACAGGCACTACATCGCTTTCGCAGTCTTGAACGAAAACTGACTCGCAATCCACAGCTCAAGGAACAATATGTGGCATTCATTAACGAATATTTGGATCTCAACCACATGTCACTAGTCTCCAGTAAGGATGTTCATGACTGTAAGTTTTTCCTTCCACATCACTGTGTCATCAAGGATGACAGCACTACAACAAAGCTGAGAGTTGTATTTGATGGCTCTGCAGCTACAACTTCGGGCTTGTCGCTGAACGATCTGCTCATGTCAGGTCCAACAATACAACCGAAGCTTTTCAACATCCTCATTAGATTTCGATCGTTTCCCGTCGCACTTACTGGAGACATCTGCAAAATGTATAGATGCGTTCGAGTCACTGCACCAGACGACATGCTCCAGTGTATACTATGGCGTGACTCTCCACAAGATGACCTACGCGTGTACAAGTTGAATACGGTGACCTATGGAACTAAGCCTGCATCATTTCTGGCTATTCGGGCCATGCATCAGCTCGCGTTTGATGAATCATCAGCATATCTCCTGGGTTCAAAGGTCGTTCTTCGAGACTTCTATGTGGATGATATGATATCTGGTGGCAATTCAGTGCGGGAAGTGCGAAACATTATGCAGCAAACAACAGGTCTTCTTTCTCGAGGTAATTTCCAATTACGGAAATGGTGCTCCAACAGCCCTGATGTTCTCGGCGATATTCCCCAAACAGAAAGAGAAAGCTTTCTCAAATTCGATGACGGCAGTGATATCACCAAGGCTCTGGGACTAGTCTGGGATCCGTTCAAAGACACTCTGTTGTTTTCGTTTTCGCCGATCAGATCTGGCAGAAATTCCAAACGCTCTGTATTAGCTACCATAGCTCGTTTTTACGATCCACTTGGCCTACTAGGCCCCACTCTGACAAGGGCGAAAATTCTTTTACAGCGAATGTGGAGGGATAAGCTCGCGTGGGATGAAAGCTTGCCCCATTCACTGGATACGGCCTGGTCTACGTTTTGTGAAGATTTCGTCAACATTCAACATTCGTCATTTCCGCGCTATGTATTACAGCCTGGAGCCGCGCTTGAAATTCATGCGTTTTGCGACGCTAGCCTTGAAGCATATGGCGCTTGTGTATATGCTCGCTCAACTAAGGATAACAACGTCCAATTACAGTTGCTATGTTCAAAGGCACGCGTTGCTCCACTGAAAACTCTGACTGTGCCCAAGTTGGAACTCAGCGCTGCCGCTCTGCTTGCGCAGTTAGTAGGTGAGATAGCCAAGATGAAGGTTTTTGACTGCCGCTTCTATTGTTGGTCAGATTCGTCGATCGTTCTATCATGGCTGCAGGAAGAATCTTCAAAATTTAACGTTTTCGTCGCTAATCGAATATGTGCTATACAGGAGCTTACACAGGGGATGACTTGGCACTATGTTCCTACAGCCATGAACCCAGCAGACATCCTATCCAAAGGGGCCGCACCAAGAGAGCTCTTGCAATCAGCTCTTTGGATGCACGGTCCAATATTCTTGCACAAAGCAGAAATCAGCTGGCCTGAATTTCGCGAACCACAAACCAAGCTTTTGGAAACTCGTCAAAAGGTATTACTCACATCAAATGATCGACCCGACGTATCTCTTTCATTTAAGTACATCAACTCGTTTGGCAAAATGCAGCGTATTTTTGGTTACGTAAGCAAATTTATCAATATAAAAAAATTGCCAAGGACGTCGCAGCTCACGTCTCGGGACATTCATCATGGGGTTCAGTTGTTAATTCGCATCGTTCAGAGAGCGCAGCTTTGGTCAGATTACGTCGCTCTGAAAAATAAGAGGTGTGTCTCATCATCTAGCAGCATCTCTTCATTATCACCATTTTTAGATGACATCGGTCTGATTCGAGTTGGCGGTCGCCTGAGGCATTCAACTCTTGGCTTTGAAGCGCGTCACCCGTGTATTCTACCAAAGAATCATCCGCTGACGTTCTCCATAATTGCACATTTTCATCACAAGCATCATCATGTAGGGCCGCAGTCACTACTTGCAGCCATTCGCTTGCAATACTGGCCCATAGGTGGCAGAAAAACTGTCGCCCACGCCCTCGGTAAATGCATTATATGTTGTAAATCGAGACCGCGACTCGTCGAGCACATCATGGCTGACTTGCCTAAGGATCGCATTGCGGCCTCACGCGCCTTTATTGTCACTGGTGTAGACTATTGTGGGCCGTTCTATTATAAGCCAGAAATGCGTAACAAGTCCCCTCAAAAATGTTACGTTAGCGTTTTTATCTGCTTCGCAACAAAAGCCGTCTGGATGGAGTTAGTGAAGGACTTATCGACCAGCGCCTTTATCGACGCTCTAAAGAGATTTGTTGCTACTCGTGGCGTACCCAGCTGCATTTGGTCAGATAATGCAACCAACTTCGTAGGCGCAAGAAACGAGTTGAGTGATTTGCGACGCCTATTTTTAAGCGAGGAGCATCGCAGCGAGGTCCATAACCACTGTCTCAACAATGGGTTTGATTGGCGATTCATCCCGCCCCGCTCGCCGCACTTCGGCGGCTTGTGGGAAGCAGCCGTAAAAACAGCTAAGCAGCACTTTTATCGTTCGGTTGGCTCTTCACTTCTTGGCTTTGACGAATTGCGCACTCTGGTATGTCAAATCGCTGCTGTTATTAATTCTCGTCCTCTTGTACCACTTTCAGAAAATCCAGAGGATTTAGACGTATTGACGCCAGGGCATTTCCTGATTGGTGGTCCCCTAATAGCTCTACCTGAACCTGACCTGAGACATTTAAATTGTAATCGTCTTGACCGATGGCAGCGCGCAACTCACGTGCACCAAATTTTCTGGAATCGGTGGAGTCGAGAATATCTCACTCTCCTCCAGCAACGAGCGAAGTGGCGCACACCTCAGGCCAGCATTCAAGTGAACGATATCGTATGCGTCAAGGACGAAAACTCACCGCCTCTGAAGTGGCCCCTGGCCCGTGTAATCGAGGTTATCCCTGGAGCTGATGGTGTAGTACGAGTGGCAGTTTTACGCACGTCTAGTGGAACAACCCGTCGAGCAGTGAACAAGCTGTGCGTCCTTCCAGTAAACGATACTGTTGAAAGCCCTGACCTTTCAACGCGGGGAGTATGTTCGGAGCAGCAGCCGATAATGCAATCAACATAAATCATTAGCCTCACATCGCAATATAAAGCGTTACATTTAAGCTTCAAATATTTTTATCATTTTGTTTAAACTTCTAAACATTTTGTACCACCCTAGCATAAATATTCCCAGTCCGTTATTGAACATATGTACATTATTATTGTAAAACCACTCACTTTATATTCCAATTGCAAAACATATGAGCATATACGTACATGGAGGAGGGTAATTACTTGGGCTCATACATACTATTATACTGGACGAATGCAGGCGAACGGGATATGATGTGTACATAGTATGTACAACTGCTGTCGCTCTTAAGGCGGGCGTACAAGCATGTACACATATCCATAAAAAACGGTCCATATGTATATCAAATAATGAGAGCATGTAAAAAAAGAACAAGTTTAACTATGTATTACTTTTTATCGCTCGAGGCTCTCATCTGCATAAAATTAAATATCACCGTTGTAAACTCCGTAATTCCCCTTTATGCTCACTATTAAGAACAAACATTTTGTACATAATGTATACATATATACCTACACTAATAGGCTATTGCTCATGCGGAATTAAGATTTGCAATCATTCGATTTTGGCAATAGAACTGAGCAGCAGTTTATCAGCGGCATAGGTGCATTTTTATAGTTTAAGCTCACGGCAACATCATCGTTTAGAATTCGAAATCAAAAATTAAATAAAAATTAAGTTGTTTCAACAAATCAAAGGTGTTGACCTTTTCTTGTTAATTTGGAGTTTAATAGCTGCAAAAAAAGCTTTGCATCTCAACAGGCTCCTTGAAACAATATAGGTTTAAATCTGGTTTCCTAGAGCTAATGAATTAATTTGGGCGAGAGGCCTCACATTTTACCGATAGCCCCCTACAGAAGTACAAGGCAACCGAAAACTTTCTTACCCTTTCCACAATATTAGGCTTCCACGACAGCCGCCGTTGATCGCCCACCTAGTTACCTGGTTCAGGTAACTTTGAGCCAGATCAAAAAGGGTGTATAGAAATCGTCCCTTAACCAAAAGTTTCACATTATCTACATAGGCGATCACCCGACAGCCTACTTTTTCCAGTTTCTCTAGAAGGTGGTTTACAGCCGTAATCCAGAGCAGGGGAGAGAGAACACCACCTTGTGGAGTGCTCCTAATGACTCTGCACTGAGTGCAGGCGCTGTCCCACTCCGCGGCGACTGTTCTGTCACGAAGTAAGCTGTAGATAAGCCTTATTCGGTTGGTTTCAACCTCCAGATTATGAATATGCTTAACTATTGCCTTTGGAGTGACATTGTTCAAGGCCCCTCTTATGCGTGAAGGGTTCCTCTGACCGCTTAACCAATGTGTGCAGGGCGGTATTCACCGACCTTTTCTTGCAAAAAGCTCTTGAAAGACAGTCACGAGGAGTCGCCTTTCTTATGTGTAGGTCTATCAGTCTCTCTAGCGTTTTTAGCAAAAACTAAGAGAGACTGATTTGCCTAAAATACCTAGGGGAAACATGTGCGGCCTTCGGGATGAACGCAGTACTGACTACCTTCCAAGCCTTGGGGATTTGTAATTGCACGACACCTTCAGAGGCCTTTGCAGCTGCGCAGGTATGATGCCATCGGCCCCCGGCGACTTTAATGGTTTGAACGAATTTATCGCCCAGGCCACGTGACGATCGTCCAGAAGATCGGAGAAGTGCAGCACCTGGGGGAGATTCTGAAACCAGTTAGCGACAATTTTCGAATCGCTATCGCACCTTTTGAAGCAAAAACATTTATATCATGCGTCAAAATTAGAAAATTGTTGTTAACTGGTTAAAAAATCTCCCTCCTGAAGTACAAAATATTCCAAAGAACTACATTTGACTGTACTTCGAAGTACGAAGTACAAGAGCGAAAAAAGAAGTACTGTACCTCCGAAAGAAGTACATTATCCATGACGAAAAATGTCAAAATGTGAATAAACAAACAGTATCATAGCGTTGCATTTTTTTATTTTCGCTATGTTCAATAACATAAATTAGGGCTTGATACTCGGGAATTCGGTGCTCCTGTTTCCACAGGAAAACACCCATGTCGTGATAACCATGTCACATAATATACTTCCAATGGATGCCGCCTATTTCTCATGGGTTGCAATATATGTCAGCGCTTATTGCTTGCCATCTATTGCAGGCAATTTGATAATTTTACAGACATATTTTCACTTGAAAGAAAGCGTGCTGGTGGTAACATCGATGAAATATTAATATTAAATCAAAATAAGAATCTGTTCCCTATTGGATTATTTATGATACCGTTTTAGGAAGTTATTCAGCAAGTATTTTTTAAGAATTAAATGTCCTTAAACACCGAAAGTGAGAGAATGTTATCTGGCGGCGTCATGCGGCAAATGCTTATACATATCAAGGCATCAAAGTGCCCAAACACAAAAACTTGCAATCATACTGCTCGTAAAAATGACAGTTGGTATGCCATCGGTGATTGCCTGTGGAGTTCTGCGGTAAATTTTCCCCCATGTATTTTGTTTGTGTAAAATTATTTTAGTATCGGTTTACCGGTTATCGAATTATCGTGGTGGAAGCTTGATAATATTTCTGGTAGTTGGTAAACTGTAACCGGCTGTACGATATTCATCCAATTTTGAATGCTTCCGCTGCCGAAAGGCATAACGCATTTGAGTAAATAAAGTTCCTTCAATTTTTTGCTACAATTAATTTTTTTAATAGGGCCAAGAATAAGAAGCTACGAATCAGCTGTTGATAATTTACCAGGCTAAGGGTGTGGTTAAACGTGGCAATGCTAGCTCTTTTTCTAGTTAAAAATGTCAAAATGCGAAATCGAAAGTCTACTTTCCCGTGTAAAGAGTCAGAGAGTCATTTTTGCAGATATGCAGAAATCACTTTCGGCAACAAAAATTGCAAGGAGTAACTGCAACTGAAATTACGCAAATCGCTTTCGGGAAATAATTTCAACTTGCTCGTGCAATAAATGTTAAATTGTTTTGGAAAATGGTTTTTCATAAAAATTATTGGTTTTATTCCATATTGATGCTGATGCGCCAGATTTTCTATTTTTTTGAATTCCTAATTAAAAATGAATAATAAAAACATAAATATATTGCGGAATTATATTTATTAAACTTACCTCATTTACGAGTTAAACCTATTGTCTAACATACTTACCACTTACATATGGGGAAACACCCACGACAAAAAAAAACAAAAGTCTTATATCTAACGTATTTACGGGCCGATTTTGTCTGCTTTTGAAAATATATACTGCACGGTGTGCCTGAACCAACTTTAAATCGAAGGTCATAGCACATCATTTTTTATTGCTAATTTGGGTTATTTATGTTATAAATAATGTGTAAAAACTGTATAGCCCATAACTTGTCGAACCGTTTTTGAAAAAACTCATTTTAAATAAAAATTATTCCTTTTCTTTTAAAATATTCATACATACATATTGGACTAGGGATTTAAGCATTACATTGGCCCTTTTTAAAAATTGTAATGTGAAGGAAATACTATTAAGGCTAAAACACTCGTTATTTATTTTTTTATGTAATACATAATTTGTTTAAAAATTCACGATATTTTAAAAACAACTAAATTTTTATTATTGAAAAGAACATCGTTTATTTCTACAAACTGTACCGGGTATAAAGCAGGCTTTTTATTTACTACTATCGCCCAGTTGTCGGAATTCGACATCTTTTTTCATACAATTTTGAATTTTACCTGTCAGAAATACTAACTCCTTTATGCGAATTACATTTTGAAGTCCACCAGCATATTTATGGCGAATTTACAGGAAAACTTAAAATCGAATTATGAACGTTAAGACCGGATTGATTATTGCTAATTCTATCAAGTCTCCTCCAAATTTCTTCAGTTGCTTTTGAAATTAGACCGAAAAAGGAACCTCGATTTTCATTTATAAAAAATATGCATATGTATTTGTATGTACAGATAAGATGTTCGTCACTGACTAATATGTCAAACATATACCAATTTAGACTTTAAATAAGTTTTTCGATTATATTTGTCTGAGAGCCTCTTGGAGGTTAAAATTGCTAAACTAAATTGCCCACATCTACATAAACTCTTTCTTTTTTTCATCAGAATCGTTAACGGTTGAGAAAGTATCTTGAAGACTTACAACAGAAGATAATATTTCCTTCTCTAACGGCGGTTTCACTCGGGTTTTGGTCAAGACTGGGCCAAAGCCCAATATTTTTCCATCACACGACTGGGCTTCAAAGTTACACCAAACTTTATGTTACTAATATGTGTTCTAAAAGTGAAACAAATCTGATCATAAATATGATTTTTTTAGGATAGCTCTCAATCCCTGCGCCAAATAGCGGAAGACAAACACATTTATATTTCTAAAAGCTTTTGCTCGAAACAACAACCATTCAATGCGTNTCTAAAAGCTTTTGCACGAAACAACAACCATTCAATGCGTTTTTAAAATCTGGGAGAAAATGGTTCCCAGTTGAATGATTCTTGCGATTTTATATGTGTATAAACGTAGGTGTATAAAATTCCAAAACCTTACAATAAGTGGTTCCAGAGATAAGCGATATGAGAACTTCAGTTTGTATGGGCGGTGCCACGCCCCCTTTTCCAAAATCTCCCATTCTTCGCCGTAAGTACGTTATTGCCAATATATCGAGCCCTAACCGCCAAAATAACGTAAGCGTCACTTTTTTCAAAATTTTCTTTTNCACCTATCGGAAGACAAACACACTGATCATTCTAAAAACGTTTGCAAAAAACAGCAGTCATTGAATGCGATTTTAAAATCTGGGAGAAAATGGTTCCCAATTCTTGCGATTTTATATGTGTATAAAATTCCATTACCTTATAATAAGTGGTTCCAGAGAAAAGCGATATGAGAATTTCAGTTTGTATGGGCGGTGCCACGCCCCCTTTTCCAAAATCTGCCATATTTCGCCGTTAGTGTGGTACTGACAACATATGTTGCTGTGTTAAATTTCAGGACGTTAGCATAGGCGGTTCCAGAGATAAGCGATATGAGAATTTCAGTTTGTATGGGCGGTGCCACGCCCCCTTTTCCAAAATCTGCCATATTTCGCCGTTAGTGTGGTACTGACAACATATGTTGCTGTGTTAAATTTCAGGACGTTAGCATAGGCGGTTCCAGAGATAAGCGATATGAGAATTTCAGTTTGTTTGGGCGGTGTCACGCCCCCCTTTCCAGTACCTACCATTTTTCGCCGTAAGTAGGGTATTTACAAGCTATGCATCTGTGCTAGGTTTCAGTTACCCAGCGTAATTAGTTTTAGATATATTGTGGCTTTCACATTTTAGTCTATATGTCAGATGCCACGCCCCCTATATATCGGGGTTAACATTTCTGGATTAGAAGAAGTTATATCCTTTAAATTGGTGTATGTTTGATAGAAATCGGTCGAACGGTGCCTTCAAAAAGGATTGCAAAATTTTCTTGTGGCGTATTTATATATAGACTAGCTTATACCCGCGGGTTTCACCCCGCGCTTTTATACAAATATGAAAAATAATTTAATGATGTTAGATTTTATTTCTGTGCCCATTTCGTTATAGCTCGTTATTTTTTAAGCGTATTTAAGGTATTTAGGCCGTTTAAAACTATGAAATTATAAAATCTCGTCTGCGCGCTAGGCATACGAAAGATATCAATCCCTCTAAGTTTACCTTAAAATGGTTCCAGGTATACGGCGCGTGAACGCGTAACCTTCTTGGAGGTGCCACGGCGGGTTCTAATATTGCC